GTTCAGTGTAGAATGGAAACTGATTTAAAATGTGTGTCTTCTTGATTTTTACTAGTGGATTCCTCCACCTCCATCAGTAAAGGAGAGGGAGGTAGAAGAGCAGATCACTATTGATTTGGGAGATGAGTATGAACATGCTCTCAGCGCAGCAACACAGGAGGAAATTATTGATCTTGCCGGTAATGTATGCTATGTATGTGTTCACTGATAAACTGGAATGCATCTATCATAGGGACATCACTTACAGCACCTCTTAGAAGTAGGCAAGTTGTTTTTGGTGTTTTTCTGCAGCGATACTTGACTCAGATTGGGAAGGTCTTGTAGCACGTGATGGTGAGTCATGCAGTTTCAGCCATGAGCTGGGAAGTGACATTTGTATTCTGGTTTATCAGTGAACTGTATTTGCTTCCATTAATTGAACTTGGGTTTTTCAATTAGATAGTTGGGCTCATAGGCTAATGTAGTAGTTAATTTCAATTGACTGTGTTGTCACATTTCTGTGATGTTCAACATTTTTTATTTACAAGTTGTTGCATTATGCATTTGTTTTTGTGCCTTTTTCTTTCCATTTTTTCCTCTAAAGTCTGCTTCCCCCCCACCCCTTCAAAAAATTCTCCCACATTTCCTGTTTGTTTTGTTTAAATGTTTCCTCCATTCTTGCACGTAACATACTTTGATCCTGTGCTGACAGTTTCCTTAGATAATGAGTCTGCTTAGTTATTATGACTATGATATAATTATTTTTTTGTCTGATTTTCTGTTATTTACCAATGTGGTCTGCATTGTGATTACTTGATGGATTAAACACTTGGCAAGGAATGAAGCCGTTATGACCAAAGATTACTTTTGCACTTCGTAGGATTTGAGGTTTTCATGGTGGTTAGTACGAAGATGGCTGTCTTCTACCTCCATCATGAGGGCAATAATCGCCCTCATGATGGAGGCAGCAATGACCACTGAAACGTTGGTAAACTTCTACTAGACTACATGACACTACAACCCAGAAGACGGCCATCTTCATATTTCTGCTCTCCAAATGAGTTATAGTCTGTCATCACCTAGTCCAGACTAGACAGGGTCATTTACAGAACTGGACAAAAGGATTACAGCAGATTGTGCTTTCTAACCAAAGTCTGCTCTGATGATAGAGGCAGTATGTTCGTCCATAATGTTGGTATCTACCTGCAAGTTCACACTGTGTTACAATGCAGAAGACCAACTTAGTTTGATGTTTAAGTTTATTAATGCTCCTCAAATGAGCAGTTTTTCACTCGCATTACTGTATGCATTTCACAGGGGTTTTTTTTCTCCAGACCCAGTGTATCTTTTCTTCTCTTAAGTCTTTGTATTTCTGTGTTCATACCTTTTATATATATATAAAATACATTTGTTATGCATTGAATGTCATTTAGCTGTGAACTCTTAGGAGCTGCATATGTATATATGTGGTTACAGCCATTCTTGGTTTTCACTCGATGATGAATCAAGATCAGTATCATGCATCCCTGCTGAGTAAGGGTCAGCCTATTGGCCTGGGTTGGGATGGCATCACCAAAGCATCACAACCAAAGCCGTACCCTGCGGATCCTCCCAACATGACAGATCCAGATGCAACCATAAAGCAAGTTCAGGATGATGACCATACTCTTATTGATCTCAATTGGAATAACATTAAGGTAATATAATATACTGTCTCCTGTCTAGAAATGTGAAAATTAAAGTGTACGCAACTATAATTTTATCTGTGTTTTATATAAATGTGAAACTTGGCCTTCCACTTTAGGGTGCTTGGAATATTTGGACCAAAGAGGGGGGTGCAGAAGTTTGCAAAGTGGGGTGCTTTATAATTTGTACTTTTTAGCAAATGTTAGGATGGTCTGATGAACATCGCATGGCAGAGCAGGCAGCATATGTGGGAAAGATGAGAAGTCCATATGAAAGTTTTAGTCAGAATACCTGAAGGGAAGACACTGCATGAGAAACCTAATCATAAAGTGGAGGGTAATATTAAAATGGATCTTAACCTTCATTATTCATAAATACAGGATTTAAATTTATGTACGATGGGACTGATGTATGGACTTACACTCCACTTTTTAATGGATTGGTGTTCGATTATGGAAGAAAATGGCCATGTGGATTGTATGAGGGCTGTGACATGACCAATAAAGTGTGAAGAAATATGGTTAGAGAATTTAGCCTGGATTCATCTGCCCAGTGTCAGGTTCTTGTGAACATGTTAATGGACATTTGGATTTGATATAAATGGTGAGGAAGGAGTTTGTTAACAATTATAGTCCTCTTACTGAAATATCTGCTAGAACAGTCATATGCTACATTTACTTCTGTACTTGGGGTAATTATGACCTGAAGTGAGATTTCACCAGGACTGTGTGTTGGAGCAGGGCAAGTAAAGCAGGAAACATATTGTGTGTAACTAAAACTGTTGAAGTCATCAAGAACATTTATTGTAATTATTTTAAAGTCAAAGAGCTTACATAAAGCAACACAACAGATTAATGAAAATCCTCTTTAAGAGTTTAAATTGAGACATCAGTTGGATTTTTAGGTCTTCTTTATGCTTCAGCATAATTGAAAAAATCGTTTGGGTCCATCCATGTCTTCTTGAGTCTTTAGGCTACGGTCTTGCTGCCATCTATCAGTGGTCTTGGAAACATAACTTGAGAACAACTGTTCCAAGTTTCGTCAAATTTGGTATGGTGATTGTCATTCTTGATGATGTGTTGCCTGTGATGACACCGGTGTCCTCTAAAGAGTTCTCCTATCCAGTCTTGTTTTCTTATGAAACCTTGTACAAACTTACTGACATACACTGTAAAAGTGTCTGTAGCATTCATTGTAGATAATAATATAAACATTGCCATATACAGTTTTCTTATTGATCACATTTCTTACGCAGAATATCTCGGAGGAGAAGTTTACTCAACTGTTTGAAGCACTTCCTAACAACACGCATCTGGAAACGTTGAGTCTTACAAACACCGCAATGACAGACCCTACAGCTCTGAAACTAGCAGAGGCACTAGAACACAATAATACCCTGCGTGTTGTCAAGTAAGCATGTTCATTTGTGTTATATGTATTGTTATTACATGGGAAGGAGCTTCTCATGAAATAATAAATAGTTTATATAAGATGTGTACTGAAATTGTAATTAAATTATGAATATGGATGTATGTTTGCTGTGTACCATCCCAGTAACCCATGCTAATAAAGTTTATGCTATTTTCAGCGTGGAAACAAACTTTATCAGTCCAGCAGTTATTGTCCGACTCATCAAATCATTGCTCACTACGAAGTCCATTGAGGAGTTCAGAGCATCAAACCAGGTAAGAAATAATTGTTTTACAGCAATTTTATAAATTAAATAGTGAAATAGTGATAAATGGATGTTAGTCAGTTCTATACCTCTCTCAGTTAATTTGGTTTCACATCCATGCAAAATTATGGTTTTGTGTTGTCTTAATCTTTATTCTGTTAGACAGCAGACAGGAGGACAGAAGATTATCTACATGGTAGCAGTCTTTCATTGAATCTGTTTTGCTTTTATTATCCTCGTGAATGAAATTCTGATGTGTTAACTTTGTCTCAGAAATTAAATCTTGGAGACAATGTCAGAGTGAATGTGCCTATTTTTCTTGACTTTTTCTTTGTAGAATGAGTATTTGCCATGGAAGGATATTCATATTTTCCAGACTGGGTTTGCTTTCATTTTACAGCTGCGGTTTCATTTTTACAAAAAACATGTTTCTTTATTATATATCTGGGTTAAGACGGTAGTTATTTTCTTTAGTTTCTTGGAAATTGTGCTAAAAGATTTATTTGTGTAAGAATAATGAATGACTAAATGGTCCAGAAATTATATCTTATTTTACATAGAATTAAAAGAAAACAAATGAATGTGTTGGTGTTTTAGCGCTCCCAGGTACTGGGGAACAAGATTGAGATGGATATAACGGCGCTTGTGGAACAAAATCCCACTCTCCTCAGGCTTGGTCTGCATTTGGAATATAATGATGCTCGACACCGCATTGCAATGCACCTGCAGCGCAACATAGACAGGAGTAAGTACTTGCCCCACTTTGTTGTACATACTGTCACAAGCATTGCCAACATCTGCATCTAGTCCATCCACTTGCACGTGTCTGATGGAATTCTGTATTTGAACTGGTGGCAATTGCTTTACTGGATATATTCTATGTTTTTTGGGCTGAATATTGTATTATTGCAAGTTTATTTATTGTCATTAATTTTAATTTTCAGCAATGGGTCATGAGCAGGGTACCTGAGCTGTAATAAGTAAATGTAATATTTCATTATACTGAAATTGTTATTATGTTACTTGTACATAATTTTGTGTGTATGTTCCATATTTGTGTGTGCACCTGTAAGTGCATCACTGTACATGTTTCCTTGCACTTAGATTTTCTTTTTGTTTCTGTGATTTGATTTTACTTCTTTTTTAGTTCTGAAACAGTAATTGAAGTTTATAGCATTCAACAGATATGAAACAGACTGAAGTCAAAGATTACAGAATAAGGGTGCATTGGGGTACATCTGTGGAATATTTCATCCTTTCTTTGGGCTTGGTAAAAAGTGCCTGTAGGTGATGCAATTTTTATAGCCGCATATTCAGTGATCCATGTTGTGGATAGAAATAAAATTGTAGTTTAATTTGTGTTTGTGTGTGGTTTTTAGCTTTCGTTATCCTGCTTAATGCTGTGTGTTAGTGGCTTTCCTTGTAAATTAAATAATGGTTCAAAATCATACCATCTCAGGTTGTGTTGTGGAAGGAAACAAATCTCATTATTGAATTTTGGAAACTGAAAGGTTGTAGTAGAACTACTAATTGTATATTCATTCCTGTAGTTTATTTGGTATAAAAATTGATAGAGATCTTGTGCTATTATTAAATTGGTCATAAATTGCGCTACTGTTCCAAATTAGAACCTTCTAGTCTTCGTCACAATAAAATAGAGTATTAAAAAACAAATTTCAAAGCTACTACCCAGAGTTCACACTGTAGTTTGTTATTGGACAATTTTGAGGATGTATTACATTGAGGTCTTTTAAAAATACATAGATAATCTCCATATATTTTATTTGTATGATTTAAAATTATATTATTATTGCAATCTGTGATAGTGTGACTTGGATTTTGAGTAATAAAGTATGATTTGACAGAGTTATGGTTACTAGCAGATGTTTACAATGCAGATTGTGAGTAGTTTATCAAAGTGTTTCAGTTATTAGGTTTTTGTTTGTATGTTTTACGTATCTAGATCTCTAGGTTTTACTGCCCTTATTCTGGAAATATCCATGTTACAGATTGCTGTTGTGATGCAGTTATTTTCTGTTTACAGTAACTGGGAATTCTGTAGTTATTTTGTTTGTGGCATACAGGTGGAACTGTGGCTGAATTATCTTTGTAAAAATATTGCTTTTAGTTTTACACTGTTCCGGGTATTTTTAGTATGAGGATGGGCATATGTTTTGCTGTCATTAAATACAGTGACCTGATTGTACATATGACTGGTGTTCTGAAAATTGGATGTGGTTGTGTAGAAAATAGAAACTAGGTCATAAATTCTCAATTGGCACTGGTTGTGAAGTTGTATTATGATTATTTTCCTGTGTATATAACATTAGGTCAACATAACACCAGCAAACAGCTATGGAAGAATGGAGTAACCAATAAAATATAAATTTCTATTTCTGGTACCTTCTGTTCAATTTTCTTTTATAAAATATTATTCTTAGAATTGTCTTATATAAAATTTAAAAATCAGGAAGACAATAACTTACATATGACAATCTGTTGTACAGATGGACTCATAACACACTTAAACGGATCACTGCTTTTGTCGTATTTTACCACCGTTTATCAAGGCCGTATGGTTAGCACTGCTGCTTCATGTTCAGATGGCCCGAGCTTCAAATTCTGGCCTGGAGACCAGGTACCCTGACTGAGGTTTTTCATGTTTTTCCTCAGTCCCCCCAGTAAAATCTGGGATGATAACTTAAATTAGGCTGTGACTGCTTTCTTTCACATTGATTCCAATTCATTAATTATCCTATCATTCAATGCTGTATAGTCCTGAGCTACTGGAATTGTTAAACAATCTACAAATAAATAAATATGATAACTTGTGTCTAAGCCCTGAGGCAAACACATATTTCATCTGTATTTTGCAGTTGACTTAGAAAGCGTAAAAGTGTTTGCAGGGTATTTCATCCAAAATTTGTAATTTTTAATGTCCTTTTGCTTAGTGTTGCCACTTTGGCATTCTACATCAACCGTTTGAAGCTGAAGCTCACTTAAATAATATCTAATTAATTCAGTCTGTACTGGAAAAATAACACAATGCCTAATCTTTAATTACAAAGAACAGTTTGTTAATGCTGTTTAAGGAAATAATCGGTTTACTCTGTGAATTATATGAAATACATGAATGCAAAATGCATAGTTGTTGACTGTTAAACACATACACATGGTTAACATTAGGCTTTAAAGGGTTAATCATTCTTTCCCTTGATCACCTGACCAAAAGTGGCATAAGGGACATAAGGACATCGTGTTTCATGAGAGGAAAGCAGCTCACTTCGACAGTGTTTTTAGGTAATTTCAACATCACCGGTTGAGAGTAAATATGTAAATGTTCTTTATATAAATGTTGATGAGTAGCCAGTATACATGACAGTTTAAAAAAATATATAAAAAATGTTATATAAGAAATTTCTACATTTAAATGGAATTTTTTGTTAATCCTGCTCACATTTACTACCTTTGCTAATGAGGCTAGATTACTTCCTTGTAAGTAAGTAGTATAGGAGATAATTTTTAAATAATGTAATGGAAATGTAGTGTGTGGCAAAAGATCTCAAACTGTTGGTGTATTTATTTTGTTCTAACTTTGTGAGCACCATTTTTAGGTTATATATAACCTTATTTATTTGAATATTTTGCACTAGTGAATAAGACATGATTATCATTCTGGAAAGGATGAAGCTTTATTACAAAATTATTAACAGTAGATGCTTAATTGCATTGTGTTGCTTATTCACAACATTGCATTAATTTATTTCATGTTAGTTCCCCCATTCTTTTCCTTTCTTTTGTATGTCAGCATACATTTTTCACTAATTTTACGCAGTAGAAAAAACGAGTTTTTATTGTACATACAGTTGTAGAACAACAATTTGCTGAAACACAGTGTGCCTAAATTATTTATCCAAAATTAAAGCATGTATTACAGACAAACCATTGCATATTCAGAGATGAAAAACAGAACACTGACAAGATAGGGAATTTGTTTACTACTGTGGCAGCAGTGCAAAAACAAAGATGGTGTCTAAATTTCAAATGGAAGCAAAGTGTATACTGTGTGTGCAGAATTTGGGTATGAAAGAACAGTGCAGCTCAAGATGTTGGACTCCTGGGCAGTGTTCTCATCTCAGGATGGTGTCCTTTCCCTTTGGGTGCATGAGGTGCACAGGTGTATTTTCTGTTTATTTGTACTGTACATTGTCACCATTTTATTAACCATATATGCTACAACCAGAGTGAAAATTACAAAACTGACTAATTCATTGAGTATTATTTTTGCAGTGATTTACAGTGTTGGAGAAAGGTGTCATGTTTGTACATTCCCAATCTGATTTTATTAATTTAAATGTTTTGTTATTTTATGAGCTGTTGAAATTGCATGCTGTAAGAATCGATGTTTGTGGGGCTATTAATGCTTTACTTTGAAGCTGGCTTCTCAGTGGTGGTGTATTTTTTCCTATGATTTGTAGATATTCTTTCTTTTTCTCTTTTAAACCTGTTCCTGCCTAGATTGTCGGATAAATGCTAAGGCTAAGTTCGACATAAACATCGGGAAGGGTGATGCTCCTTTCCAGATTGTCTCCAGAGACTGATATTATTGAGTGTGAGTAGGTATTGAATGTGATCATGTCCCCTGGAATGATGGTGTCTACATTATAGCATTGTGACAACAGGAATGTTTTATTTGTGACTGTACCCTTCTATGTCCCAAAATTGTGATCAGTTTTTGTTGTTTATTTCCATATGTGCTTAGACCATATTCTCAGTGTTTCAACTGTGGGTTTTCATATTTCCTTTATATTCCTATGATTTACAAAGACCAAATTTGTAACACGTAACTGTGTTGATACTTAAATTGACATCCTAATGCATTTTGAATTTAGAGTTTAGGCATTTATCTGTTCTTGCAGTAACAAATAATTTACAGGAATAAATACAGTCCTTGAATATTTGTCTACTTTACTATGCATCAGAATACTAGTTGCCATATCATTCTTCAGATGGTGGTGTTTCAAACTTTATGTTTGTAACTTTTTCACCATTGAAATAAATTCATCCTCTATTCTGTCTCCAGCACTCATATAGAAATAATGTATTAAGAAATGTGCTGTGTGTTGATATTGCTCATGAGCTCACTGCTACAGTATTTTTATTTCTTCAGTTTGTTAGCACCAAACTCCATTTCATGGCACCATCATGCAAAGGATTAAAATATTGGAGCATTGGCAGTTATGCAACTTAATACAGTTTTATGCAGTGATTTGACCCTTTGCTCTTTCCAGAACAATAAAGCATAGTAAAATCTAAAGGGCTCTGCCCCTTCTATCATAGTAAAACAGTTAAATATAATTTAAAATGTCTATATCTAGAAAAGGTGTGGGCTGATGCCACCATGGATTAGTGTTTGAAATGAAATGTGCAAAGGGTTAAAAGAATAATTCATCCAGTGGCAGCACCAATGTCAGTTTTCAAGATTTTGGACAAATCTTATTAACTGATATCACATTAAAAAGCATCAGAACAGTTGTCAGTTGGAGAACCCATTTTCTTCGTATGTGGCCAGTTTCTTAGCAGACTTTTTTGTCTTGAGAAACCTAAAAGTAGCAAACATGGGTGTATGGCATTTATTAATTAAGTGGGTTACAGAATTTAAAGGTTAGGCTGTACATGTTGAAATTTCAGCGGAAGATCATGTAAGAAGTGTATTCCCTTCGTGAATTGAACTTGTACAAAATG